GCCCTGCTTCTTGCATTTTAAACTCATCATTTTTCATAAAAAAGTAGCTCAGAAAAATTGAATCTCCTTGAATATCTATCTCCTTGAATACTGTCTAGTTCTAAACACTTGGTTTAAGTGGGTTTGTTATCCTTGTAAATCCATCCTGTTTGTTACAAAAATATGTACAAAATAAAACTTTTCACCACATTAATAGAATAGAGAGTCCAGACATAAATCCCTGTTGATATGGTCAATTAATCTATGACAAATGAGGCAAGATTATGCAATGGAAAAAAAGACAGTCTCTTAAACAAATGGTGTTGGGAAAACTGGAGAGCTACATGCAAAAGAATGAAACTGACCACTTTCTTACACCATACACAAAAACAAACTCAAAATGGATTACAGATCTAAATGTGACACTGAAAACCATAAGAGTCCTAAAAAAAATAGCCAGTAGACTCTTGGACATATTAGCAATGTTTTTTGGACCGGTCTCCTCACACAAGGGAGACAAACGCACAAGTAAGTAATTAAGACTCTCAAACTGAAAAGCTTTGCACGGTGGAAGAAACCATAAACAAAACAAAAAGGCAACCTATTGAATGGAAGAAGATGTTTGCAAATCACGTATCTGATAAGGGGTTAAGATCCAAAATATATAAAGAACTCATACAACTCAAGACCAAAAAAAAAAAAAAAAAAATTCCAAACTATCTGAGTAAAAAAATGGGCAGAGGACCTCAACAGACATTTTCCAGAGAAGATATGCAGATAGCCAACAGACACATGAGAAGATACTCAACATCACTCATCATCAGGCAAATACAAATCAGAATCATGTATCATTTCACATCTGTAAGAATGACTAATATCAAAAAGACAATAAATAACAAGTGTTGGCAAGGATGTGGAGAAAGGGGAACCCTCTTACACTGTTGGTGGGATGGAAACTGGTGCAGCCCTTCTCGAAAACAGTATGGAGGTTCCTCAAAAGTTAAAAATAGAGCTACCCTATGACCCAGCAATTCTGCTTCTGGGTATTTATCAGAAGAAAATGAAAATCCTAATTCAAAAAGATATATGCCCCGATCCAACAGTACATTAAAAGGATTATTCACCATGACCAAGTGGGATTTATCCCTGGGCTGCAAGGTTGGTTCAACATCCGCAAATCAATCAATGTGAT